AGGCTCAGAATGAACAGGTTTATTCAGAACTGTAGCTAGCTCAGATTTCATTAATGGAAGTAGGGACCAATTAATTAACAATTTCAAGTTCATCAACAGGTACAGGAACATTCACATGCAGGTTTCTTTTAAGAAATTATTGATTTTATTTTATTATTAATTATTAAATTAATTTAAATAAAAAACAGAGGATTTATTTTTTTAGAGAGTGGAGAAAACAGAGATTCGAAGAGAAAAATTGGGGGTTTAATTTTGAGAGATAAATACTCACTTTGGGCGATGGGTAGGCTAGCGGCTTAGTGTTGAAGCTGCCGGGAGGGTGATTCTGGGCCTCAATGTCGGAATGCCGGCGGCGGCCGCCGGATGGAGAGAGAGCCGGCGAGGTGTTGCGGAGGAACTTCTCGAAAATAGCCATGACGAGGAACATGGAAATGAGAATGGCGGTGGCGACAAATCCGAACGAGACGGCGTTAACGGAGTTGTCGAAGTGCGTCCAGTGGTCGTATTTCTGAATGTACAGCGGCGAACCACCCGGCGCCGGCGGCCAGCCTCCCCACCCCTCTTCCTCCGCCCCCATTTTCTATTTCACACCTTCAATTTTTCAACGAACGCAAAAAATTAGGGTTTGGAAAGCGGAGTTGGTGGTTATGGCAGTTTGGAAAGACAGGGGAAAGCTTTTTTCAGGGGTTTCTTCTTCACGGCGTTTTCATCTCATCTCATTAAAGCAAAAGTAAATAGTCTTTTGAATAAAATGAAAGCTAGGTTATATATATATGTAGCAGTACATAAGATTCTTTCTTCTTTAGAGAGAGAAAGAGAAGATGGCCGGAGGTTGAAAATGGAGGTGGGATTAGGGCTTTAGAGAGAGAGAGAGAGAGAGAGCTGAGGGTTTGCTTTAGAAGAGTAATTATGAAGAGGAAAGGGTTGGAAACTTGGAAATAGCACCTCTGTGCTGACAGTTGAAAGGAACGTCATTTTAAACATGAATTAATTATTATATTATATACGTTTAATTCATGTTTTATTTATTTTTAATTTAAGAATTACAATAACTAATAGTAATATTATCTCTCAAACTCTTCACAATTAATTATTACAAGTTTTACTAACTATCCACCGTTTTTAAATTAACAAAAATCAAAATAACAAAAGTAATTGGAAACACCATCATAGAGTTGGTAAATAATAATCATAATAAAAGTGATAATAATCAATTACAAACAAAAGTTATTGAATTTTTGGAATCACCAACGAAAAGCATATTGATATACCACCTCGTTGGGCCGATTCAGTTACTTAATGAGTATTTGGGCCACCTAAAAAGTCCGATTTATCATCCACCTACAAGATCATTAATTAATTAAAGGATTGACAAATTTAATTTACAGTTTTACTTTAATAAGAATTCTACTAGTTACGCTATATTTCTGTTCACGCTCTCGCTTCTTTTTTGATGAATTATGACTCAGTCGTTCTTCCTTACTTGTTCTAATCATCTACTCGCATACAGAAACATACTCCTATATTTGCATTCAATCAGTGTTTAATCTACCCAATTTGATTTGAAATAAAGTAGGAGTTAATCAAAATTGGAAACATAAAACATTTTTGGTCCCGGATCGACCACAAAGCAAACTTAGGCCCCATTTATCACTTGGTTTGTTTTTAGTATATCCAATTTTCTCCTTTAAGTTTCATATATGGTAGTGTTTGGTTTCTAGTATAACTTAAATATGATCGATCCAACCCGCAAGGGTGGCCTAGCGGTTGGAGCAAGAGAGCTTGGGTCAATTGACCCAAGTTCGAATCCCCTTGCCAACGGTCGCTAGGTCGAGCTTGTCACACATGGTTAGCCTAGTGTGGTTTACATCTCTCGTATGGTTTGCAAGCTATTATACGAGAGTGTAGGTTTACCCAGTGCACCTATATGGTTGGCTGCGGGTTCCTGCATTACCAAAAAAAAAAAAAAAAAAAATATGATCGATCCATAATTGATATAATTTAATTTATTAAAAGATTTAATAATATAATGTTAATTAGTATCACATATTGTCACGTAGTCATCACCAAAAATTGAGACAAGCCGGCCCAAAACTCCTAATCCATTAACTACCTACACATGCTTCCTGTTCCTTTGCTCCTCTAACCACCAATACCAAATTATTGTATCGACACTTTGTAATTTGTAACAATTAAAATATATTATCAAACTATATAATTATTTCATTTTAAATCTAAAAACAATTATATTGGTCGCTGTCACACTCGAGTTTCCTTCATTTGCCTGGGAAATTAAGTTCAAGATTGTAATTTCCCATGTGCGCTAGATAGTAATGTGCATTAAATTAACGAATAAATAAATAAATTGCCTTCTAATTAATTAAATAACGATATACCAGAAGAAAAAAAATGAAATAATATAATAATGTGCATTAAAAAAATAGTTGGCAGTGCTGCATTACCGTGGTTCATAAAATTCTCTATTCCCTCAGCTTTTATTATCAAAACTCCTCGAATTGTCGCTATCATGCGATATTCGTTACTGGGGATCCCGCCCTCGGATTTGGACGATCCAGATCTATGCAAAAATTTAAAGTCATTTTAGTCAATTTACCAACTATGCCCCTTGGGTCAAACGAATAAGGTACTCCGCGTGCAGTCGAGCTGCGATCGCACGTGAGTTTGCGAGTGTGTGTGCGCGCGCGTGTGAGCAGTCACCGTAAAAAGGCAAACCTATGTTGGGGCCCACGTTGAACCAAAACGGTGCCAGTGGGTCATAGGCTTGACCTTTTTCTCTGATTAGCACTTTCTCTTCTTTTGATGTAACGTTTTCTTTTGTTAAACCAATGGGCTTTTTTCTATTTGGGCCGATGAGAAATATTGGGCTCGCAATAGTGTAACGGGCCTTAAAATATTCCAATTTTATTTTGCACCTAAATTAAATCAAAAGCATAATTATTTTCTACTTACCCCAATAATTAAATCACATGAATTATTTATCTAACATAAACTCCACAACACAACAATGGCTGCATAGTTCTACCTCTCCCTCTTCAGTCAACGCCGGGTCAAAGCCAGTCCAAGCATCTTCTTTTGCCTTGGTATCAAATCTATGCACCATCGAAATTGCACCACCACATAAAATATCTCCGTTAAGTAATTTATAACCCGACAAAAAATACAAATAATGCCCAATCGGCGCCACCGTGATATACAGCCTCTGCATCGGCCGGCGGCCACCGGAAAAACCAACAAAGCTCTTCAGCTGTGAATTTTCAACAACGTTCCACAAACAACCGTCGTAAACTTCAATATGCCCTTTCCACGCATTCAAGCAGTCGCCGGAGCTAAACAATCTGCCCTCCACGTGGACAATTTGATTAGGTGGCACATCCAGCTGCCACATCCCCCTAACTAGGTCCCACACCTCTCCTTGCTCGTCGTACACCTCAGCAGAACAGCGGCCCACGTAAGCTATCGAATTGTCCACGTCATCACACCCCTCCACGAACCCACCCACCACGTAGACCTTCCCCTGCCACGTCACCCCCACGGACTTGTACCTTCGTCTCTTCAGATCAGGCAATTGGCTCCATTCGCCCACCGTTGGATCGTACATCTCCACGGACGAGGTGCTCCTGGCACTTGCCACCTCATACTGCCCTCCGGCGATGTATATCCTGTTGTTGCACACTGTGCACGCGAAGTTGTACCTTGGTAAATTGAGTGGGGCGCAGACAGACCATTGATCGGAAGCGGCGTCGTAGCGGAGCACCTCTCGCCGGACATGAACAGCGGCGTCGGAGGATTCGTCGGAGAGTACGAGGTTTTTGTCTTCCCGGCAAAGTCTGCCGCCGATTATGTAGATCGATTCGCCGATCGAGGTCATCGCGAAATCCTTCAGCACTTGGTTTTCTAGTAATCCAGGAATCGAACTCGCGAAACTCCATGAATTATTGTCTGGATCAAATCGAGAAAGCCAATTTGAAGAACTGGTATTCCGATCTGGTTGTTTGGAGGAAAACGCCAAGTAAATCTGACGGCGTGATGACGGTGGTTTGGAGGAGAGGGAACTCATTTGGAGTTGGAGTAGTGCCGTTAGTTATTAGTTGCTAATTAGTATTAGTGCAAGATTAAGAGAGCTTAGACCAAAGTGATTAACAGTTTGACGTATATTTGTACTGGAAAATTTAAGATCAAGTGTTGTAACATACGGCTGAGAAAACAACAATGCATGTTTGGTAGTAATATTGAACAGTATGAATGACAAAAGATTAGTAATAATGATTAAGAAATTAATTAATTGATGTCATATCGAATTTGACTAACATAGTTGTTATCGAGCCAAACATCAATTCAGTCAGAGATTGTCGTATCTAAAGATTTTATTACACTACATATTGTCTCAAGCATGCGAGCAACACAGCCTAATTAAGATCTTCAATATCTACCTTTTCAGTTTTGTTAATTAAAATTAATTAATAAAATAAAGCCATCCCCACTATGCTAAAGTTTTTGGTTCTTGAAATTGGGGGCTGATCATGCTAATCAAATTTCAACAAGAGGATGGGCCCAAAAGCAAATAATTAAATAAAAAGGGAAAAAGAGATGTATCAGATAAATTGGACAAGATAAAAAATTGACAGCAAACAAGGACACAGTGCAAAGAGCAGAAAATAAACAAATCCCAGTATTATCTTATTCCTCTCAGCTGCACAACCCCTTTTGCTGGTGATAAAAGGAGTTTTTTTTTTATTGGATTTGATGTATCAGATATATTACCCTATGGTAAAAAAAAAAAATTACAACAATGAACTAGCATATCTAACCATGAACCATTGGATATCAAACATTGAGTTCCACCACTTCAAATCTATGCTAAACCTTTCAAGAAAATTAACAGCTCAGGCTTTAATTTGGTGGTCAACTCTTGAGTTCGACAAACGGTTGACCTTTAATTGGCTTTTTCTAATAATTTAATGACCACATACCCTAAAATACTCCACTAATTACATATAACGATGATTAATTCACGTAAGTGTGCACGAACGCAATAGTGGCCGGTGCATGCATGCAATGAATTAAATTAGACACACATTAAAAGCAAACTCCAAAATATTAGTAACAAGAGTACATAAAATAAGGGCATGCAGGCAGAAGTACTGAACATATAAAACCATGCAAAACAGCATTAATAGTTAGTTAATATTAACCATGGAAAAAAACAGTGTGTAGGGTGGGGGGACAATATAATTAATTGTTTGGGGATCGCCCTTCAATTGCATTTACTGCATTTTCAGCAAATTTTACTGTACAGCCAAGTTTTGATAGTGATAGGACCCTGACTAGAGAGAGAGAGAGAGAGAGAGAGAGAGAGAGAGAGAGAGAGAGAGGAGGGGGGGGGGGGGGCTCTCTTCCCACTGCTGCCTGTCTCCCTTACACACTCACTGTGTGTCTGTGCGTGTGCCTTATGGAATTTAAGTTCCCCAATGCAACAATAAATTTCATCAGAGCTAGTAAGTATAGCTTCTTCTAAAAGACCAAAAGGATTTTTGCATCATTTTTTTGTGTTTCTTTTCTGTTTTTGGGTTTTACCCAGTTTCCTACTCTTGGTGAAAAATTAAAAAAAAAATTAAAAGGAAAGTACTTACTCAGTACTCAGATCCTTTTCTTGTTTATTTATGCCCCATCTAATCTTTCCATTTTACCTACAGAATCCAAGAAAATTATAACAAATTCTCCCCCCCAATTTTTGATCTTTGGTGATTCTTGATGGAAAGTTTTTGGGTTAGGGTGCAGAATCATGGCAAGAAACAGTGCAGAAGCCTACTATGGAGAATTAAAGCAGCAATCAAGAACAATAACAATGCAGCGATGATGAGGAATAAGTATAACAGAAGCAAAGGGAAGAGATTCAAATTCCAGTACGATCCTCACAGTTACGCCCTCAATTTCGACGACGGTTGTTATAACAGCCACCGACAAATATTAATAGGAGGAGAAACAAAGATCAAAGATTTTCACCATGCAAAATTTAAGCAGAATGGCTTTCCAGAAATCACCATTTGGGTGTATGTACTGTGGGTGGAGTCTTATTAGCTAGGCTAGGCTAACTTGAAAATGGTTAAATTTCATGTTTTACCGTTATGCACCACTATATTTTCACTGCATCTACTGTTGTTACTCTCCATATGTACACACCTCAATTTCCACAGAATACGGAATATTTGTATTTCTCACTATTTAAGTCACCTTTTTTCATGATTTTCCAAGCATTGGATTTCAGCTCTCAAACAGCAGGATCTTCATCAGGTGCTTCAGTTTTTCCCAACTCTTTTACAACCAACATCAGGTTTTTCATTGATCCTGTAATAGTCTTTGCATCTGTTCATAAGCATCACAAAAATAATGATGTAAGTAAAATGCACTTCAGAAAATGGAGATATAATTATAGAATTTATACTATCAAGGTTTCAAATGTGACCAACATGTGACATAGCTCCTAAATGCTGCCATTACAAGTACCCCCAAAATGTTTACAAGATACAGAATCAAGAAACAAGTCAAATGTAAACATCTTAACCGATAAATTATTGGGCAGAAGTTTAACCGAGAAATTATCAGGAACTACAGCTTCAGTTGTCATTGATAACCGTAACTTGTTTTCTACTCTCAGATTTCACTTTACTCATCACTTATAACTTGAATAACAATCAAATGTCCTGGCTACTTAGCACGTTCCATGATCCTCTCCTGAGGTCAATTCTATAAAACATATCGTGAATCTACCAATGAGTAATCAATTAAGAACTTCAGAAATAATCAAGGCTTCATAAACTGGAATTAAGAGCTAAAAGAAGTTTAGTTTAACTGTGATTCACGACCAGTAACAGCACTAACCTTTTCCATCAAAAAATCTTGAAAGAACGTATGAGTCCACCTCATTAGCAATTTCGGTGCGCCGAGATACATCTAGCAGATCAGCAGCAGAGCAATTCTTGAAATCTTCAAAAGCAAGCAGCGAAACAGTCCTCTCCAACTCTTCTAAGAGACCATTCTGAAATATAAAATGTATTAAGTTCACAGTATATAAAATGCATTAAGTTCAGAAAAGAAACAGTCCACAGTTATAAATCAATCAGAATATTACATGTTTTTCTCCGATTGGAGCAAGTTCCTCTTGAGCAACCTTCAAAGCTTCCTCCAAATTGTTATTCCGGATCAGTTCAATCACAAGTAGCTGCTCGAGACGGAAAGCGAGTCCGGGATTTTCTTTCAGAATCTACATGCAGAAAAATCAAGTTGTATCGATTTGATATGGAAGTATTGAAAACAAATCCAATCATGGTAACAAAGATGTTTGCTATCTAAATCATGAATTCATTGATCAATTGAAGTTTCATGTGAGTTGTAGCAAACGTAAAATTATTGTGAAAGCTAATAGAATTGCAGTTGAACGCATGGGAGAACTTATCATACTGAAGGTGTATATATGCTCATTCATGTTATGACACTCCTGAACACTTATCAGCCATTCGTCCAACATATATATTGAGTCTTATTCTCAAGCATGAAGTTCCCAATAAACTATCCGAACTACAATTGCAACATACCTAACATTTATTTTAACTGACACGTTATATTTATCACAAATTGACAACAACAAAATAAACTAACACAAAAAAAAAAAAAAACAATGTTCTATCTATTATGAAGAAATACAGGTCCATACTGAGATCAAGTAAGAAATAAATACAGGAATTGAATAATATCGTACGTACCAAAAAAAAAATGTTCTATCTATTATGGTACAAGCAACTGAATAAGAAAAGGAATAAGTTATCTTACGCTTGGGTTCAGATGATTAAGTTCTTCAATAGCACGCTCCGCATCACCACTCTGTATTGCCTTCTTAATTGGCGTACGAAGAACCACAGTTTCACAATCTACATCAGCTAATCTCGGATAAGGAAATCCGTAGATTCTCATAATCTGAAAATGCTATAGAGTTACCCAAAACATATATTTAAATCACACAAACCACAGGAAAAAAAAAAAGCAAATTGGATACGCTTTATCCCAGATTCTAGTTGGAATATTTCTGCAGCATCGATATAACCCTCAGTAGTCATATAATTGATCACCAACTTTTGCATTGAACTTATGCTATGTGCATCACTACTGAGCCATCCCTCCCACTTATCCCAACTTATATCCTTCCTCGATGAGTCCTGTAAAAAAAATAGCCAAATTCAAAAAATAAACGTTGATAGATCGCTGCTTACAATTATTCAATGATAATCACACGATCAACCCCAAGTTTAAGCCATCGTTCATCTTCAAAATCAGGGCACATAAACGAATACGATTAGCCTCATACAACTAAAACCGAACAACAGACTATTCAGAATTAAAAGCATTTGCACATACAACCGACATATATATATTTTTTTTAATTATTATTTCACCTAAAATAAACAGTCGCAAAAGAAAGAAAAAACCCTAAATTACACGAAGAATCGCAGCTCAGGTTTATATCCATACACATTGATATTGCACATAAACGCTTCAATATTCGCGAATAGAAACAGCAATTGAGTAAAACAAATCGCATAATATGTACGGAAAATAACAGCGAGATAACAATATTTTATTGAGTGGCCGCGCGCGGCGGCCGGCGAGTGGTGGTGGCTGGACGGACTTACCATATCTTTGAAAACAGCGATTCAGTATTCACCCTATCGGCGGCGCTCTCACGCCAATTGCAAAACGGAAAAATTTATTGCTAGCTCCCTGCTTGATTGCTCTGTGTTAAATGGTTTGATGTGCAGCGAAATTTAAATGGGAGAAACAGAAAAGGAAGTCGGCGGTTAGGAGAAAAAACTGCACTCTTTCCTTGATCCTTGGAAACAGATTTTCGGGGTAAATTGGTACTTGCTCCCTCAATTATATATAAATGCAAACATTGCCACATTATTTTATTCTTTCGGCAAAATAACCACTAAAATTGTGAATTTGGCAAATAAAAATACTTTTCCTCTAAAAGGAAAACTATTTAATTAATTTTAATTAATGTTTATTTACCTTAAATTTAAACACACTTAAAAAAAGGAAAAGGGAGGAAGTATTAATGTTAAAACCCCAACAAAAAAAAAAAAATCACATTTAAATTATTGTGTTTCATCGCTAGCACAACTTATGAATTATATTAAAGTTCCGTCTGAAAATATTACGAGAGAAGAATCAAGAATGTATATATAGGGAAAATAACTACAATTTTTAGCTAGCAATTACTTATAATTATTAAGTAATTACAAGGGATTTGACATATAATTTCTTCATTACCTAAAAAGTGATACTTTAAGCTTAGTGACTAAGTTCGTCGTATTGGTATTCAAATTGGATTGAAAATTTAACAAAACTATATATAATTTTCATATTTTGAGTTTGATAAGAATAAAATTGAAATATCAAACTTATAGGGTAAATTACGGCCACCCACCTAACATAATATTAAATTATGAAAAAAACAATCGTGCTCGAGTAATTACATGTCTATTCTCATGGTATCAAATTAAAAGAAATTTTTATAGATTATGTGAAATATTCTCTAGTTTGTACTCGTTTTGTGCAAAATTGCAATTTATGATGCACCATAATTTGATATTTACAAAATGTGGAGCTCGAATATGGTAAGAGCATATGTACAAAATGAAATGCTATTTGCGGTCACAAAATTGGTATTCGCGGTTTATAACAAAACCCTCCAAAACTTTTAAAAATATCAAAAAACCCCCCAAAATTGCAAATAGCAAAAAAAAAAACAAAAAAAAAAATTACGAAAATTCGAAATCAAGCTTGAAGAAGGGTTGGGCTTCGATTTTTTGATGTAATTTCGACTTTTTTTATGTGTAATATGCATTGGGTAGGTCGATTACGGAACCAATTTCATGTTAAAAAGCCCTACAAATCGATTTGTAGGGCTTTTTTTTTCGCAAAAAAATGTTCGAACGTCCAAGTCGTGTACGCGCCTTGGGCGTTCTAAACATTAAATTTTTTTTTTCTTTTGCACCGGACGCCCAACTCGGGCGCCCAAATGCAGCTTGCACGCCCAACTTGGGCGTGCACTGCATGAATGGACGCCCAAGGTGGGCTTTTACGCGTTTTGGGGGTGTTTTTGGATTTTTTTAGAAGTTTTGGGGTTTTAGTGAAATAAAGTGTTTTTTTGGGGGGTTTTGTTAGAAACCGCAAATAGCAATTTTCAAACAGCAAAAAGCAATTCCCATGTACAAATTGGAGAATATTCTACTAAATTTTAGACTGTAAGGGCAAACGTGCAAGAGAAACCATAGTTAAGGGGTGATTGTAATTATCAAAATATGAGGGCTGTTTTCATAATTTACTCTTACCCTCAGGGTACGTACGCCGTAATTTACCATTAATTATTTATTTTTAATATAATATAATATAAACGTGGTTTCCTTCCCTAATAAGGTAATTAATTAATTAATACCGATTAAAAAAGTAAAAAAACAGACGCGTGACGCAACAGCGAGGCGACTTTACCAAATACGAAGGGGAAAAGACAAGGCGAGGCGGCGTATTTTAGAACAGCCCACCCCATTAAAATTCCAAGAAAAAGAACAGAATAAGTCAGAATTATACTCCATTCAGGAATCATAAAGTCCTTATTAACCTACGCCCCCGTTCCCACCTCCGCCCATCAAATTTATTTTTTCTATTCTTCGTCATATTTTTTTTCTAGGGCACCGCCGTTGGTTTTTCCCCTTCCTAAATTCTGGAAATCCGAGTGAATTTCTTTTGCTGAATTCTTTTTCTACTTGACGATTGTTTGGCGTCTCTCACTGTATCTCGTGCCGTATATATGCGTTTCCGCTCTTACATGTTCGTGTATTGGATAATTGGAATTGCAGTCGAGCCTTTGTGGAAATTAGGGTTTCTTATTAATCGGTAGGGGAGAAAGAAATTGAGATGTTGACGGCCAACGCGGAGGAGGGATCGTTGGGTATAATGGATGAGTTGTTCAGTGTTGATGATCAGGGTGACGACGTTTTGCTTGATCTTGATTCTTTCTGGAGAGTTATGGGAGGAGAGCCTACTGAACCTTTGCAGGTTATTTTCATCTTAGAGTTCATGTTTCCTGGTTAAATCTGATTGATGTTGTTTGAATTGTGAGTACTGGAGTGTATGATTTGGTCTCATTGGATAGCTTGAGAGTGTAAACTGTTTTTTGATTTTTTTGTGTGTTGTAAACATTCTGTATGTGGAACAGTGGGCGATTGATTTTGATGATGGGTGGTGTTTGATTTACTGTTAATGGACTTCATGAAACTTTGTTCAGTGCTGGTCAGAGGTCAATCTGAATGCAACTGTTTTCTTTTTTGTTGTTGTATTTTTTCCAATATGCTGGGAAATTTGGGATTTGTATGATAACTGGGATTCCATGGTTCTGCTGCCATTGTTTTAATGTGTGCTAGTGTACTGATATGATTTTCAGACCCAGTTTGTGTTTCAGTGTTCTAATGTTAGTGTGATTTTGTTTAAGCACGTATTAAAATCTACTATAAATAAACATGCTATCTTTATCCTCTTGGTGAATTGCTCCACTTTTTTAATTGTGTAGATCAGTGAATGATCATATTTTTTGTTGATTTGCAGGAGTGTATGTTGGAAAATTTACCTTCTATTGATGTTCTACAAGGTTGGTAAGCAGTTGAGTTTCATACTTTTGTGTTTTCCTTTTGTTCTATCTACTCCTCTTAGATTCTTCGAATGGACCTTTTGAATTGAAATTATACGATGAAATTTGGTGAGGGCATGGTGAGTTTCTTATAAAGGCTAGTTGTTATTTACCTACAATTCTTTGAATGATAACAATTTCTACCTAAAGTGAAAACTGATAATATTATGTTTGATTAAGTCACATCTACTAGACACGGGCTGATATTCAAATCGAATGAATATCAACAATAGAAGCTTATTTTTCCATTAAAAAAAATTAAGATACATGATATTTAACAATGTTCTTTCTCTCATATGCTGATTTTGGCCAAATAAAGTTAATGGATGTTATTTTAATAGGATCTCCGAATGTAAAAGATGTACTCTCGCCAAGATCTGAGTTACCAGGATGTGGTATACTATCACCTTCACATAACTCCGAAGCCTCAGATTGTAGGACAGGATGTTCAGATAGCTTCTCGGAGTCTGCTGGGACTTCTTTTGGTGCTGATGTTGAAAGGCTTGAACCTTCTTCCCAGTTTAGTTTTGCAGAGCATAGCTACTCCAGAAGTGTAGCTGATTCTATACCTGTTCAGGGAGATGGCCTTCCTTTTGCTCATGCTGTTGGTGGTTCTCGGATTCCCTCATTTTACTGCCAAAGTGACAGTTGGAAAGTTCCATTTGAGACACCCACACAGAGTGACATGATGTCTTCTTATAGCGCTGATCCTGTTAATCATGATGGAGAGTCTTCAGAAGTTTGTCACATGAACTACGAAGAAGACCTGTTTGGAAGCTCTGGGGCGGCGCCCTCTGGTTCTGAAAGTAAGTCTTGCCCACGAGACTTCATTTTATACGTTTATCGTGTTTGTGTAGAAATCATTAAGTTAATTACTCTTCACTATAACATGCATTTTGATTTTTTTGGCATTAAAAGTATCACGGCTTCAATGTTGTTTGCAGATTTGTACCACAAGAATTCTATGGAAGACATTCCACATCTTCTATCTCAAAATGGTGATCTGTACCTTTTAAACTCAGATGATCGACCTTATTTTCCTCATAGTGTTGGATTTCAATCATTAGCTGGTAGTGGTAGGATGGTCAATACTCTGGATGAATCGAAGAACCCGGATGAGGATTTTAATAGTATGACTCCTCATGGTGGTCTGATTGGAAATGAGTCACATCACATAGATGGTCAAGTTGGAGTTGCCAAATATAATGACATGAATGCAATGAGAAATGTGTTCTTCAGCAAAAGACAAGATGGTATCAAGTTCAAGGAGAATAATGAATCAATTACATCTAATAATATAGTTCGCAGAGCTTCTGATGTAATTGATGACGTATTTAGTAAGAAATACAATGGGGGTGCAGGTATGTTACCTGCTACTGAAGGTATACAGTGGTCTACAGCCAATTCTTTGCCACCGATCTCTAGTAAGAACTACGTTGCTCGCATAAAGGATGAAAATGAAGACAGACTCATTAAATTAGAAAGAACTCTCCTTTCTTCAAGTATGGTTGGTGAGCGTCCTGTAAAAGTTTCAGCTATTGGTGCTCATGGTTGTCATTCTGGCATACTGCCTCCCCGTTCAGTCAAGGCAGAAATTAATTCCGCAAAAATGGAAAATGAGGTGCTAAAGTACAAAAAATATTGTACTTCTAACATACCTTATCGAGGAATTCAGAGCCGTCCAGTCAAGGCAGAAATTAATTCTCTAAAAATGGAAAATGAGGTGTCAGAGTACAAAAGTTATTGTACTTCTAACAGACCATATCCAGGGGTTCAGAGTGACGTGTTAGAACTGAGCGATCTTGATGATGAACCTGATGTGTTTATTCTTGAGGATATGAGTGCACCAGCACGCCCGAATCCTGCATTGAATGGCAAGTTGGTTGGTGCTTCACCATTTTTGGCGTCAAGAGACCCAATGGGACATTCAAGGATTAAAGCAAATGACGAACAGGTCATATTTCGTGTTGCAGTGCAGGTGAACTCCTTGCTTGGTTTCTGCTTTTCTAGCAGGCTATGATTGGAATGTGTGTTTTTACCAAAGCAATAGTATGCTGTTTTCTACTTCTGTGAATAATGAATCTATTGCCGGTTATATTTGACAGTGCTATTATCTATTGAATCTACTATGCTGCGTTCTACTTGTTCTCTCACTAAATGTCAGTATGCTCTTCTTTCCAGATAGCTTTTTATTTCCAGTTCATTTAGATAACTATGCCAAGCCAACAAGATATTCATCTTCATCTAATGGTTGTGTTTCTTTTTGGTGCCAGAAATCTCTGAAATGTATTATGTTGTGTGTGTTCACTTCTGGAGAATGTGTTAAACTGACTTGTTGTTGCTTTAAGTATATAGTCTTCTTAGTGTCATTTTATAAGAACATTGTAAATATTTTCTTAAGAGGAAGATATTATTTTGTAATTCATGCTTTCATTTGCTGAAGTTATGAGCTGGCATATCATTGCAGTGATATTTTTATCAGATATGACCTTTTTTTGGGAGATTTAAAGTTCGAAAAGAAGAAGTTAATTTGACAATTGATTATGCAGGATCTTTCGCAGCCGAAATCGGAAGCTACTCCACCAGATGGTCTTTTGGCTGTGCCTCTGCTGAAACACCAGGTATATGTTCTTTACTTGGTTTTTGTGAAAACACGATTTTGATTTCGTCCGCTGCTACTTTGTGGCTTTGGTGAAGAGCAAGAGCAAAACTGCGTGAGATAAAATTGCCTCGAATTCCTGGAGAATCCCATTTTTTCCTCTTCTTATTTTCGTCATTGCATTAGTCTTGCATTTGACATTTCTGTTTTATTTTAAATTTGTGCCTGCCTGTCAGCCAGATGCACATTTATTATTATGAATGTGAAGAGCTATTTAGCTGATCCATATGTCTAACTTTGAATAATTTAGTATAGACCCTGGATAACTTGTAAGTCACTTGAATCTTAACTTAATAGAATTGACTGAAACATGTGTCTTGTGAAAAAGGATGCACATATGCACTGTCTGAATATTCTTTTGCACGGATAGCTTTTGTTACTCCACATCTCTTGAATAATTTTTGAAGAAGAAAATGAACATATCTACAGTACAGGAAATCATAAAAATGTTCTCCAAATGAACATAGAACAACTAGGTTTTAGTTATTTTGGTATTTTAGTGGGAACCGCAGTGGACCTCATTGACTGGAGAATCATTTTGTCAACCTTGTATTTTATACCTGTAAGAGTATTATCTCCGCACAAGTCTTGCATTTGAGAAATTGGTTCAGGATTTAGACATGACTTAGGAGTGTTTCTTCTATTTTTTTTTGATGTCATGGTGCTCTGTTCATCTGATTGAAAAAGTGGAACTGGCGTCAGATTTATCATTCACTCTTGTTAGCCTATATTACATGGGGTTTCATTTTACCTTTTTGATTGCCATCATTACTTTGTACCCTTAGAAGGATGGGTATTATTTTTTTTTCGCACACCATCTGTACTCACACTTGTTGAATTTCTGGGCAGCGAATTGCTTTATCCTGGATGGTTAACAAGGAGACTAGAAGTGCGTGCTGTTCTGGTGGGATCCTTGCAGATGATCAGGTGTTTATGGGAGTTCTTTTCCCTTTTCAGGGATATATAACTGTTCATTGGCATGGACTTACTTCTCATTTCATCTTTTGCCAGGGACTTGGGAAGACAGTATCAACTATTGCACTCATACTCAAGGAAAGGTCTCCATCTTCTAAAGCACCTAAAGCTAACAAAGAACAAAATGAGGCGCAGATGTTGAGTTTGGATGAGGATGATGAAGAATCTCTGTCCTACCATGTGAAGGAACCTCGTGAGGATAATGGTGGCAAGGGTTGTCTTCAATCTAAGGGCAGGCCAGCTGGCGGTACCCTTATTGTATGTCCAACAAGTGTTCTCCGCCAATGGAATGAAGAGTTACACACCAAAGTGACAAGTGAAGCTAATATCTCTGTTCTAGTTTATCATGGAGGCAACCGTACAAAAGATCATCTTGAGCTGGCCAAGTATGATGTGGTGATCACAACATATGCTATTGTAAGCATGGAAGTGCCAAAGCAGCCAGTTGTTGATGAAAAGGATGATCCGATAGGTACTCCATATAAAGGATTTTCATCTAGTAAAAAGAGAAAGCTACATGCAGATACAAATGGTAAAACACCCTGTACGAGTAAGAAGAGTAAGAAAGGGATCGATAATGAATTACTTGAATCTATATCTGGCCCTCTTGCAAAAGTTGGATGGTTTAGAGTTGTACTGGATGAGGCTCAAAGTATTAAGAACCACAGAACACAAGTTGCTAGGGCTTGCTGGGGCCTTCGTGCTAAACGTAGGTGGTGCCTATCTGGAACACCGATCCAGAATGCAATCGATGATCTTTATAGCTACTTCAGATTTCTCAGACACGAGCCATATGCTATATTTAAGACCTTCTGTGAGCAAATAAAGGCACCAATCCATAGGAATCCAAAGGATGGGTACAAGAAGTTACAAGCTGTGCTGAAGACTATTATGTTACGTCGAACAAAAGGTAAAAATATTATCATATTCTATCCTTTCTCATTCTTAGTTTAGTTGTAATTCTCTTCCATAATTAGGACAAGTTAATTGGCTTCTTGAGTTCCTTTTTACCTTCCTGTCTTCAGTTATATGCCTTCGTCTAGGTTTCTTTCATTACATGTAACTATATTATTGCCTGTAACTATTTATTATCTGTAACTGCATTATCAGGTATCCTTCATATATATGACAAGTTGATTGGCTTATTGAGTTCTTGTGTGTTTTTGTATGTATTCTACAAAAGACCGTCTAGTTATGGCTGATAAGTATAGAAATGGAAAGGTAGTGATGGAGTCAAGCTTTTGATGCTGTATCTACAATGTTTCTGTTACAGCTTAAACTGCATGAGTATCTTTCCGGTGATTGATGTTATTTTGGTTGTATTTTTTATCCAGGCACTTTCATTGATGGAGAACCGATTATCAATCTTCCACCCAAAACTATAGAACTGAAAAGAGTTGATTTTTCCATGGAGGAGCGTGACTTCTATTGCAGACTCGAGGCTGATTCGCGGGCCCAATTTGCAGTATGTTTACAATTTTATCAAATGCTATATTGTATGTGATATTTTGGTGGATCTACAAGTCCTAGACTTAAACCTCTATTTCTGCATCTTGACAGGAATACGCCGCCGCAGGAACTGTCAAACAAAATTATGTGAACATATTATTAATGCTTCTGCGGCTTCGACAAGCTTGTGACCACCCTCTTCTTGTTAAGGGTTTGAATTCTAATTCACAAATGGCTTCCTCCATCGCTATAGCCAAGAAACTTCCTCGGGAGAAACACATGTTCCTTCTGAATTGTTTGGAAGCCTCTTTGGCAATCTGTGGAATTTGCAACGTAAGAAATATATTGAAACCACCTCATTCCTGCTTTTGCTGTACCATATTAATTATGTTTCTTTCTCTCTGACATGTGCTCTGCCCTTGTTATCCCTTCTATCTTTCCTTCAATTTATTTTTTCTTTTGGTTTCCTTGGTTGTGTTTGATGTATTTCTAGTTGAAGGTCCTATATTGTCCTCATACACCACAGATTGGTGCGTCATATCTAGCCACTCTTCTCTTTTCGTTTAGGTGATAAAACATAATTATAGTACGAAAAGGTTGATTTTCTTTTGCATCAGTTTTTGTTATGGGCTGATACGAGTACCTTTATGAACCCTTATCCTACTATCTGGTCTTTTCTCTATTTGGATATAGAGTGTGCTCCATTAAGGGTTATTTGTAGAAAGGAAGAAAAGGTTGCTTGTCATTTGCTTCAGTTTTTGTGATAGGCTTATATGAAGAGTTTTATGAACCCTTATCCTACTATCTGGTTTTTAGTCTACTGTAGGATCTTAAGTCTTTAATCTGGCCCTGTTTTGTCAATATTGCATGATATCTGTGTGTTTTGTCTCGTAGTTAAACTTAGGCAGTTTGCTTGGAGATTTAGTTGGTGCTAATAAACTATATTTGTGCTGCACATCTCTTACATTAAGTGTGTGAAATTTGATTGTAGTTATTAGTCCTGGGGGAAAAAACTTCCATGAATTTTAGTCTCTGGATTTCGTGTTCCATTTGCGCTTCTGTTTGAAATATTTGGATAATGATTTAGATCACTTTAATAAACATGTTAAAATGTTTTTCCCCCTTCAATTTGTACAATTAGATGGAATGAAATAAATGGATTCTCATATTATGCTTTATGAATTCATTGTCGTTTTCAGGATCCTCCTGAAGATGCTGTTGTAACTGTCTGCGGACATGTCTTTTGCAATCAGTGCATATGTGAACAATTGATAGGTGATGACACCCAGTGTCCCACCAAAAGTTGCAAAACCCATATTACCATGTCGCACGTATTTTCTATAAGCACTCTACGTATTGCTATATCGGATCAGCAGACTGCCCAAAATACCCCCGTCTGCTCTGGTTCTGAGCTTGCTTTAGTTTCCAAGTCACCTTCTATAAATTGCCCTCAAGGTTCTTCCAAAATTAGAGCTGCTCTACAGCTGTTGTTGAATTTGTCCAAGCCACAAGATCCTGCCTTACTAACAGGTCCCATAGAGTCCATAGAAGGGTGTCATAGTTCAGAAACATCACATGGTTGTGGTTCAAATAGTATTGTCAAGTTTGTGGGTGAAAAGGCAATCGTGTTCTCTCAGTGGACGAGGATGTTGGATTTGCTTGAAGCTTGCTTGAAAGATTCTTCTGTTCAGTATCGTAGACTTGATGGAACAATGCCTGTTATTGCCAGAGACAGGGCTGTGAAAGATTTTAATTCTCTTCCTCAGGTTTTCTTTTTCTTCTTTCTTCGGATTACTGGATTGTTTTGCTTTCCATTAGCTTATAGTTGCATCTTCGAAGTGTAGTAATATTGTAAAACTTTTGTGCTAGGTTACTGTCATGATCATGTCTTTGAAAGCTGCTAGTCTGGGACTTAATATGGTAGCAGCTTGCCACGTCATCCTCCTGGACCTTTGGTGGAACCCGACGACCGAAGACCAAGCTATTGACAGAGCACATCGTATTGGACAAACGCGTCCGGTTTCAGTTTTTCGGCTAACCGTGAAGGATACGGTAGAAGATCGCATTTTGGCTCTCCAGGTACCACGCCATTCTCAATATTCTTGTTTAAAAAAATTGTTTTTACTTGATTGCAGTACTAAAGGTTCAAAATGTTCCTCAAATTTTCATTTATTTTGATACTATGGAGTGTAATTATCCTGTCCATTTTCAGCAAAAGAAAAGAGAGATGGTTGCATCTGCCTTTGGAGAGGATGGGACAGGTGGCACGCAAACTCGGCTTACAGTGGAAGACCTGAAGTATCTATTCAGGGCTGATTAAACATTTTTCTAATGGTTGATGGTTAATTCTTTTTATATTCTTTATAGGCTAACAATTACAGCACTGTTTATTTTAAGCTTTCAGAATGTAGATTGTTAGGGTTGATAGGAAGTTGGTAAACCTCGGAAAGCAGCATGATCTTGCAGATTGGTTTCGTACGAGTTTTCTCAACAAAGATTTGCATGATACTTTTGTTTTAATAGGGTATATATAGGCATTTAGATGGAGGTCCTTTGCATTAACAAAGATAGTAATACCGATTACTTAAATTATTTTTGATTTGATTGTAAATGTTACCTGCCACCTGGTCTCTTATCGACATTTTTGTAGTCCTTTTTTGTTAATATTAATATATTCGTTTTCCACGGGGCGATGGCGATATTCTCTCTTATTCCATTAATATTATCACACCTTTTTTTCTTCATGTAATTCTTGAGTGTATTAAAGATGAACATTTGTAGTTTGTGGTGTTCTCTGTTTGTTCTTGATCTTTCCAGGTGTTTCTGCAGTTATTTCTCTATACTTCAATAGGTATTTGCGTGATTGTGTTTGAATTAAAGGCGGGAAATTTTCGGTGTATTTCAGTGGGTGTGTACTATCTTGAAGACAGGTTGGGTGTCTTTGTTAGGTTTTCGTTGAAAATGGAAATTTACATTTTATGCCGATAAATTAATCAATCTTGTGCCACTGCATCGAGACGTATATAAAGCAAGGTTCTAAAAGGCGGTTATATAACGCAACTTATAAAATACTATGTGAAATATCATTTCGTCAAAAAAATAGAAACTATTAATGAATTTATTATATGAATCTATTATGCATGATACTATGTATCATAAGATAAATATTATCAATTGTTTTCTAAGGAATAGGAATTTTCGGAAATAAAATTGGATTGAAAATCAGAAATTTCCAGAACATTTTTATTCTGATCCAAGAATTAGAAGAAGAAAAGTAAAAGAAAAAAAAAACTCAGAAATTGGACAAAATATTCTCAAGCTGGAACAGGAAACAATCGAAAATTCCGTTTTAAGATGTATATCAAATATGTAAGCATCACTACCAACAGTGGTCCCATGGTCTAGTGGTCAGGACATTGGACTCTGAATCCAGTAACCCGAGTTCAAGTCTCGGTGGGACCTTTCTTTTTTCATTTTGAAATTGTTTTAGCATGACATTTAAACACTTGTTCTACAGATGAAGAAGAAGAACATGATTTTAGAACAAATAACATGCATTCCGCAGGACAATAATAATAATAAGATCATGAGTTTTGAATTAAATATATACAATTTACACAGAATTACTCTCTGTCTCAACAAGATCTATCATTCAACCACTTCAACACATCACCACGAACAATCGCTACATTCTCATCAGTTTCCCCAAACAACAATGAATGCATCATACCCTCATATATCTTCACACTCTTATCCTCACTCTTCGCCAATTCATACAATTCTCTACTCACCGCCGGATCGGTGACCACGTCAGCATCGCCGTGCATCACAATAAACGGTATCCCCACATCCCTCAGCCTTCCGCTGACGTAATCCGTCACCCTCAAAAGTTCCAGCACCGTACCCAACCTCGGCTTCCCATGGTACCTCATCGGATTCATCCCCCCGATTATCTTCTTCTCCGCCACCTTCACCGATTTGTCCAGCAAGTCCGCCGTCGGCACAATCGGCAGCGTCGGCGCGAATCTCGCCACCGCGGTCAGGATCTGGGGAATCGGCCACCTCGGCCTCACCTTCTCGGAGATTCTGCACATCGGGGCCATCAGGACCGCCCCGTTGAAAAACTCCGGCGCCTTGAAGTGGATCAGCAGGCAGATCGCGCCGCCCATCGATTCCCCGAACAGGAACCTCGGCAGATCTCGTAGATCCGGATCCTGTGCCGAAACGGCGTCGTAAAACGAGAGGCAGTCGTCGACGACGTCGTCAACGCTCGGAACGTAGGCCTTGAGCCCCTCTGAGCGGCCGTGGCCTTCGATGTCGAGGGCAAAACAGGCAAATCCATTCTGGGCGAGGAAGATTGGGGTGGCCTGAAAAGTCCAGCTGATGTCATTGCCGTAGCCGTGGACCATACAGACGACGCCACGTGTATGGCTGGATTGGAGAGGCTGCCAGGATCTGGTGAATAGGGTTAGCCCTCTTGGTGATGTGTAATTGGATTTGGTTGATTTGATGCCCTGCTCTCTGTAGTAGTCTTCTTCACAAGTGTTCCCCCAGTAATGGGTTAGCTTCTTCTCTCCTCCCTCCATTTTTGCCTTCTCTTTTCTCCTAAAAGATTAAATTTTTATTTTCTGGGAAAATATTATACTTTCGTGGAAGGTTCTGATTGGTGGGGATTGGAAAAGGCCCTTTTTATTTTTATATATTTCAATTGTTTTCGATGTGGCAGCAACTATATTTTATGACCAATAGTCAAACCCCATTTGGATACAATTAAAGATGTAATTACTAATTAGTAGATGAAGGGCTAATTAAAGAAAGGTGTAACTCCACCAATTAGGCGGTCAACTCTTGTGATTTTAGTCTCTGTTTTGCTAATGCAATTAGTATTCGATGGTAACAATGTCATTAGACTCATTATTGATGAACTTATGTGTCATTAGTCCATCTTTCTTGGTATAATTGGAAGAGAATATATCCTTGCAATTTTATTTGTTTTTTCTCTTGTCTTTGTGACTATTGATAATTTTTTTCAAAAAAATGCAGTTTCTGAGTGAAGCTATGGTGATTAATTCAAGGCATGTACTTTTTCTTTCGTGTCGCCACGAAGAATAAAGATCGATAAAGCAATAGCACAATAATATTTTCAGGCTGCATTTTTGACTGAGTACACGAAGAGAATATTGACATAGCTTTTTCAAAAAATTGTTGATAGGAAAACTCAATACAATACAATTTTTTGATTGAGTGGGTGCCAATAAATTAAAGGAACTTCACATGGCTCCATATGGTTTCTTTTTTCTTAAGTGGTATTAGGTAACTTGCCCTTTTAGTACAGTAGAATTCTGGTCTGATATATATATATATATATATATAATCGTTAGTTAGTTTACTCTATCCTAGGTATACTTTAATTTGGAGTTTAAGATTAGGATTTGTTAGTCAAATATGATCTATTGGGATCTCATCTTTATCTGAGAAACTTAAACTTTGTTATAAAGCTTAATCACTTTCGACTTTCGAGGGTTAAATATAGGCGTGCCAAACAGCACAAGAGACTTAACTGATGTTTTCTGTCATAAAGTGTAGAAGTTTAGTATAGTGCTTAGTCTTAAATATGTAATATGATTATCTACCACTAATTCACGATAACCTTTTTTAGGCTCTTGTACTGAAAATTCGGTATGTTGGGAGTCGATCATTGTTGAATGGCTCTAGCAAGTCCTGCTATATTTGCACTTTTTTATCTTTGCCAAAATTAAAAAAAGTTGCATGAAACTTCTTTTCTCCTACCAATTCATAGTTGACTTGGTGAAAAGAGGATTGTGGTGTCAAATCTAAATGAGTATTTTGCTTATGATTTTTTAATTTCTATTTTTTTTCTCATACTTAGACACTTGTGATCTGATAAAGTACGAGAAAGAAAATCAACGATGAATCGGTTTCTTGATTTCTTGGTTCATTGTCTGATCATTTTCCTGCATATAACAATATTAATGTGTTGCTTCAGAAAAAAAATAGTTTCCCACTATCAGAAAGTAGGATCCTAGTAATTAATTTCGCATCATGCTTGTTGACCTAAACCACAAGCTCGATTATATTATTGCAATCTATGCATGCAATCACTGATACGAGAACGTCAGGTTTTGGACCTGTGTACTACAGTTCATAATAATATTTTTTTTTCATCCTAAATGCAATAAACTTATTAGGACATCATTAAAAAAATAGAAAAATAAAAGATTATTAGGACATCATAGCTTACCTGCTTTTAGAATGTGGAAGACATTATAGACTATAGTGGCCCTGAAATCACACCTGATGAAATGTTCCACTAAATTTTTCTTATTGCTCGAACACCTAATGCTAACTCATTTTTCTACTTATTTTTTGCAATAAATATTATTGTAATTAGAGTTTTTTCACATGACAGTGCAATAACATATCAGCAGTCAGTAGTAAATGAAGTTAGTCGCAGTCGGATTTCTGAATAAATCTCAACTTGTTTTTATCTTATTACAGATGATTTTCCTTATCGTTTTTCAACTGAAATTGAAGTTGAAATCCAAGTCATGGCTCACATCAAAGTTGGCTGTTGCAATCATATCCTCCTCCTTCCATAAGGTTCGCCACAAAAAAAAAAATACTCTTTTTAAATCTTTCTCTATTTTGATGATTAGATTCCGAAAGAATTTGGTCAACTTTTATCTGCACAGCATAATGCACACACCACCAATTCGGAATATATACTGTAATATCATTTCACTTCCCACTTCCATGACAGGAAAATAAAGGCTAAAAAGAAAGACAAGATTTGTTATAAGCATATACACGATCGTTATATATGGAAAAATAGTACGTTGCTGCATAGATAAGTTCCCTGTTCAAATCTGATCCCGTCATTGGTTTTTTTTTTACAGTTGTAAGATCGATGTCAGTACCTTGATTTTGTGCGTTGATGATGTCATCTTCCATCTAAAGAATGGTAATGTGGCTTTCTATGACTCGTCGCTTCTTTCGTGGGTGCATATGTAAAAAAAGTAACTAATGACACATTCCATCTCGAATATGTCAGACAAAGAACGTTCTACTTTCTGATCTGTTAAATTTCACATAATACAATTTGAAAATTTCATGCATTACTTTAATATTACTGTAATGCCATTCCTACACTTTTTCTTGTAGTAGGCAGTAAAATTAATAGAATAAGGCTGCATCATTATCAATAGAAAAAATAAAGTGAAGGGAGGTTGGAATAAGTTTGTTGAAGGATAAGATCTACGCTATGTCACATAAATCAATAGAATTTAATTATTTTTAATTTATTTCGATATCCACGTGATTTCGGTCCAACAACCCACATATGAAAATGGAGGCTCCACTCTACTTCATGCTAAGGTTTAGCTGTGTAGGGCATGCCTAAATTAATATCAGATGCCAAATTAAAGCAAAGTGTGCCACACATTGGATATCTCTTTACACTAAAAGACAATCTTGAAATTTCGTCCATCTCTCACGGTTTCTTTTAGGACAACTAACAAGTATAAATAAACGTGCTGGTCTTCCCCATTATTTTTTTCTTTCACATTGAGTAGGAGCACTGTAAAACCATCTCAATGGATCTTGTCTTAAAAGTGCTCTTTGTCCTCTCTTTAGTTGTTATGGTTTTTTTCGAACCGCTAGTGGATGCTAGATATTGGCACTGGTCTAATGAAAAAAAATCCGATTTTGAGGATCTTGTGACTGGTCTTCCTGGTCAACCTAGTGTAAATTTCCGACACTACGCTGGATTTGTCACGGTAGATGAAAAAAACGGAAGATCACTCTTTTACTGGTTTTATGAAGCCACTTCTCTCCCTGACGAAAAACCTTTAGTTCTTTGGCTAAATGGAGGTAAGAGTGATAAATATCTATATATATAGATATATGGTATATCTATTTACTTGCATGCATGCATGTTAATGATTATTTATAATGCAGGGTTTTTGAATTTAAAGAAAGAAGATTCATTGTAATGAAGTTGATCCATAGATAAAACATTAAAACTCAGTGGACTCATCACTTATTTTCCCCCGAAAAAACAACTTTTTTAATAAAATACAGTTTTTATTATTTAGTGTATATTTCTTTGTCTTGTTCTCTTGTAAGGTGACAAACAAACAACTCTGTTTTCTAGGTCCCGGTTGCTCCTCTGTGGGATACGGAGCAACACAAGAGATTGGGCCTTTCCTCGTCGATGCTAATGGGCATGGCTTAAAATTTAATTCTTTCGCTTGGAACACAGGTTTTTTTTTTTTCTCTTTTCTTTTCAACGACACAAAACAAACGCGATTTTGAAGATTTTTTTACGGGTACGATATTGTTTTGATGATGATACAGAAGCCAACTTATTGTTCTTGGAATCTCCAATTGGTGTTGGCTTTTCATACTCGAATACTAGCGGTGATTATGATAATCTAGGAGATGACTTTACAGGTTAAGCATATACTACATGTTTGTTTTGTTTTTCTCCTGTAATCTGGTCAGTAAAGCACTTTTACGTGGACCCCGCGAGATATTACAACTCTGACCAAATTCATTAAAAAATTAACTGTTTATATTTTTGTACCATTTTCTGCACTATTCTTACCAGCAAATGATGCCTATGTTTTCCTGCACAAGTGGTTTCTCAAGTTCCCTTCTTATCGAACCCGCACTTTTTATATCGCGGGCGAGAGCTATGCAGGTATATATACATTTATATTTAATTATTTATTATCCCCCCGTGTTCTGTTTACGTAAAATTTCGTCTAGTCTCATCTTCTTTTTTATATATAAATAAATTATTTAATCAGGGAAGTATGTTCCTGAGCTGGCTGAAGTTATTCATGACAAGAACAACAATCCCTCCTTATTCATTGATCTACGAGGCATACTGGTACAATACTTTTTCTTCAATTCAAGAATTTACATGCTAATACAATTTCGATAGCTCATTTCAAGAACTGATTTTTTTCTCAAAAAACATAGCTGGGAAATCCCGAGACATACGATGCAGAGGACTGGAAAGGAATGGTGGATTACGCATGGAGCCACGCTGTAGTCTCTGACGAAACCCACAAAACCATCGTCCAATCATGCAACTTCTACAACGACGATACCTGGAGCAACACCGATTGTACTTCCGGTGTGGAGGAATTACTTAGCCAGTATAAAGAGATAGATATATACAGCCTGTACACTTCCGTCTGTATATTCAACTCATCTTCCTCGCAAGACAAATCGTCAACTCTAGTCCGAGCCAAGGGCTCGTCCAAGATGGTATAATAACATCCAAGATTTAAATTTTTTTTTCAAGATTAATTAATAGTATGATGAGTTAAATAAAAAATAAATGTTTCGATTATGTGAGTAGATGCCGAGGGTGATGGGTGGGTATGACCCGTGTTTGGATGACTACGCAAAATCGTATTACAATCGGCCCGATGTTCAAAAGGCCCTTCATGTTGGTGATGGAACTAGCCTCAGGAATTGGACCATCTGCAAGTAATTATTTTTTTTAAAAATTCTTTTTGATTATACATTTAATGTCCGAAACGAGATTCTATGTGTAGAAACTCATAAAATCGCATGTGATGACAGCATGACAGTATTCGATGGATGGTCAGATTCAAAAGGATCTGTTCTTCCTATATATAAGAAGCTCATAGCTGCAGGACTTCGAATATGGGTATACAGGTATATTCTTCTTTTATTCCTTTTTTTTTACATGTCGCGATTACTTAAATAATTTATATTACTTCGTCGTCACACTCGTCATCGTTTGCAGTGGAGATACGGATGGCAGAGTTCCGGTTTTGTCCACAAGATACAGTTTGAGTTCTTTAGGGCTTCCAATCAAGAAGGCATGGAGACCTTGGTACCATCAGAAACAGGTTTCCTTTGTAGTTTTATTACAGCCCTTTTGTTAGGACAATATACATATCATTATTCTTTTAATCTGATTAACTGAAAAAATATTTAATCATGATGTAATTAAAATAGGTTGGTGGTTGGGTACAAGAGTACTATGGGCTTACATTTGCCACATTTAGAGGAGCAGGTCATGCTGTACCGATATTCAAACCGAGCGAGTCACTTTCGTTCTTCGCCTCGTTTCTTGTAGGGGAATCTTTGCCTTCACAGAGATGAATTTTATCATCCAGTAATTTTGCTAAATCCAATCTGAGCTTCTATAGTAGTGCTTAATATTGTTGTTGTTGCAGATTAGTATTAAATAAGACTTTCTTGGAATGTAATTTTTCTCTACATGGATTTATGTATACATATATATTTCAGCATGGACTGAAGTTAACCACATGGTTGATTACTGAATAATCAAGGGTAATTATGACAAATTATGAAGAAAAAAAAAACCCTCATCTTTGGTAATTACAACTATCCCTCAACTATGAATTTTCTTACAAATCCACCCTTGCAGTGTCAAATTTGGTAGAATCTTCTAGATCATGAATATTCTTCAGTTTGTACATGTTTTACCCCATTCGAACTCCACGTTTGAAACAAGATTATCATAAGATGTTTCTCTTAGCTTGTAAATATCAGATTGTGGTGCAACAGATGCTGCATTTTTGAACAAAACGAGGACAAATTAGAGAACATTTCATGGAATCTAGAATACTATGATGAATTGGACACCACAAGGGGAGGACGTGTAAAAACATTCATATTTGAGAGGCTTGTTTGTAAGTATTCAAATACAGGGGGTTTTGTCGTAATTTGAGCTTACCAAATGGGTTTGCCGTAATTTACCCAATAATCAAATTATTTACGTTTTCCACATATGCTGATTGGATGAACTTAATCTAACAAGTTCGGGCCCAGTGTGTATGGTCCAGGCCCAAAGTTGTATTAAACCCCAAATAAGTTCGGGCCCAGTGTTTACCCAATAAAGTTGAATGGCCCAATCTTTCTCGTAAGCAAAAACGTGCTTTCCGGTTAGCTAGAGAAACACGTTTTATCGACTCTAAAATTGATAGGCACTTCACCATTCCGAAAGCTAATTAATTTCTTCCCCCAAACAGAATGTGATTAGAGGTCCACAATTACTTTAATCACAGGTCAATTTAATCTAATATAATATTTTAATGTAAAGAAAGCATAAAGCATAATAGTTGTTTTGAGTACAAATTATTTTAATACATATATATATATATATATATTAAATGTCATTTAAAACATTTTTAAGTGACATTAATTTGTTATTACCGATTATAGTATAATGGTCCTGGCCATTACATTAGTGCTAATTAAAGATTTGTTGATAATAACATATAATGAAAGACAACTCATTTCTCTCTGTTTATTTTGTCATAATCACAGATGTTGATATCCTTAATTCACAAAGTAAATTAAATGGTAACTCTTTCTCAACCATATTATAATATAAAATAAAATATAAATTCATGAAGTGTAACAAGTAGAATAAATTTCTCATTAGTCGGTTGCATGCAGTACAAAAATCATTAACCCATAAGGTATAGAAAATCGACATAAAATAAAATAAAAAATAAAAAACCTTTAATTTGTTGCACAATCCCAAAACTGATTATGAGAAAAGTGTTTGTACAAATTATAATATATATATATATATATATATATATATATATATATATATATATGGGCAAAAAAATTACTATATCTATATTATACTATTTATGAGGGTAATTATTTAATAGAATATCGAATTTAGCTATATAATTAATTAATAATAAAAATAATAATAATAATAATTAGAAGTACGAAGTGGGGAGCTGGCATGATTGATCCAAGATTCCATTCCCTTCACCTTGGGAATGAACAAGCGATGAATTCTGTTGGAAAGTTTGTGAAAATTGTTGGTAATTATTCAGCAACGAAATAAAAGATAGATTCCCATGTTGATCTTCGTCGCTAATTTGGCTGCAGCTGCTAGGGTTCATGTTATCATCTTCATCATTATTACTGGTCGGAAAAGGTTTTCCGTTATTTCCGGCGACCGGTTGAATCACCATTCCGTTCCAGTATTGGGATGACAGTGAAACATCCTCCGGAAAACTATCCGATCTCAACGGATTGCCGGGAATCGCAAATCCATTCCCGGATAGCATCGCTGCAGGAATGGAATTGTGATACCCGTTGTTTATGGGAGAAGATTGCATGGATTCTTCCACCGGCCGAGTAGTACCGGAATTGCTTTTCTTGAAAATCCGGCATAGAACCCAGTCATCAAGCTACACATATATATAAAATAAAAATAAATATCATCGATCTCCGGCAGAGATTAAATAATATACAGTAGAACCTCAAAAAATTTAAATAATAAAATTTTCTGATCCCGTCTTGTGAAAAACTAGTAAATTATTACTATATTAATTTATAGAGAATTAAAAAATTAAACGTACCCGAGAGGAGGTTTTGTTGCCGATGAAAGCAATTCCAGGGGTTTTTTTGGCGGCGGAATTGCCGTCCACGAGACGGTATTCATGCATGATCCAGTTACTTTTGATGCCCTTTGGTGGCTTTCCGCCGTAAAAGACGAGGGCTTTCTTCACGCCGACGGTCTGGGCTCCGTTGGCCGTTAGTATCGGTTTATCGGTGCCGGTAGCTTTCCAATATCCCGACGTGGCGGCACGATTCGGCCTTTCTCCGTTAGGGTACTTGCGCTCTCTCCGGCTGAAGAAATACCATTCCTGCTCGCCGAAACTTGCCTTACCTAAACATAACATGATCGAATATTCATAATAAAAGATATATGTTCTATAGGTGTTTGATGAAATGACTGAACGAAGAAATCGGTGGTGGTTTGTTATGAATTATTACTTGGAAGTTCCCAGGGGTCATATTTGTAGAGATCGAGCTCAGCTATGATGGCGACGGGGAGAGGGGCGGAGGCGGCTCTTTTCTTGAGGTAGTGAACCACCAGCTCCTCGTCGGTGGGGTGGAACCTGAACCCCGGCGGCAGCCGCGGGTGGTTGTTTCCGGCGCTGTTGCTCTCCATGGACTACCACCAGCGTTTTCTGAAATAAAAAATATTTGTTTTTATTTTTTTAAATGGTGTTTTATTCTCAGAATACGGGAATGCGAAAATGTAACAGAGATATTATTATATTAATGATGACGATGATGATGTGAGGGGATTAGGAGTGGCTCAGGTGCACAAAAGTTACCCAACACCTGCCACTGAAAGACCGACACGTGTTTTTCAAATATTGAGTGGGGACCACATTCGTAGTTCGATCACGCGTTTTCTGTGTAACAGACAAACCCCCCTGCCCTCCTCCTCCATATCTCTTTCTCTTTACTTTGGCGGTTTGTTTGGCAACCCAAGAAAACATTTTTTACGCACACATTCATGTGTGTTTTTTTTGTATGTGTTTGTGCGTTTTAGTGTGTGTGTATGAGAGAGAGAGAGATATGGGGGCGGACGCCGCATTCGTGCTCACTGTAATACTCATGCAGTTTTATGTCCACATCACTGACGATAAATTCGGATTTATTAATAAATAAATAGCATACAAAATTATTTTATTTTATTTTATTGCGCGCATTGTCCGTGATAGTTTTTTATAATAGATGAATTCGAACTTGAATCGATTGACACAAGTTCATTTGCTTCAACTGTTAGGTCATTTCTTACGTGACTATTTAGTTCGTAATTATTTGATGTAGATGAGTTACACATTTCTATTTTTATTTTGAGTAATACACGTCTTACACAATTTTATTTATTTTAGGTCAAAAATGTTAAAAATAATAACCCAATTTATCTCTAATTTTTTTTTAATTAAATCGATGAGGAAAAATACAAAGATATGCCTGCATTGAAATAGATATATGCGGAATATATATATATATATATATATATATATATATATATATATATATATATATATATATATATATATATATATATATATATAGAGAGAGAGAGAGAGAGAGAGAGAGAGAGAGGGGGTGGGGGTTGAATATATAAATCAAAGACGGTTGAATAGCCAAACAAATTGACAACAAGTCGTTCTCGCATATGGGTTTGTTTGTCTTTATTTAGGAGAATCTATGCCCTAATATTACATACTCCATACATTTTCCTTTTTTCCGTTTTTTTGTTTATTTATTTTTATTCATTTTAATAAATCGGGCTTTAGGGCCACATGTGCAACGGCCCATATATATTAGATGGGCTTGACCTTCTTCAGTTTTATAATTTTGACTAAGCCCGATTGACCGATTGAATCCTAGTTACATTGCATAGAGAAGAAATAAACTAGAAATTGCTCATTCATTCACTCGAAATGCAATCGGAAACTTACGTAATTATTAATTTATGCGAAAAGAATTAGTTACAAGAAAAGATTATCAATTTGATTATTTTATTTATCAATAGTAGCATATGTTTACAACTTCTTCACGACCGTTTTATTGTCACGAGAGGCGTACGTACGTACGTACATTAATTAATGAAAGAATAATAAAGAATTCGTTAGCTAGTTCATTAAAAACGAGGATTAGCTAATTAATTACGAAGATGATTATCAACTAATTAAGGTAATTAATTAAAGAATTCGGCGCCAATTTTAATTTGAATTTGAATTTGATTTAATCAAGGTGGTATTTGTGCTTCCTGGTTATCATTCCTCCACTTCAATCAAGTTCTTGATCACCACATCAGTAGCATTTGCTAGAAATTCGGGCCAATCCCTGATTAAAAAAATAACAATTAATTAATTAATTAAGGTAATAAATAAATGTAATTTTTTTTTTGTGAATTAAGTAATTATTATAAATTGATTACCCTGTGAGAGTGTCGAATGTTAATCCGACGGTCAATTTGGCCTCTTCGAGGGCGGACCGGAATCTTTCGAGATCCTCGGGCGAGCGAGACCCGTCGCCGGTCTTGACACGGAGCTCCGACGGCTTGACGTCGCAGAAAATGGGGACGACCTTCTTCTTCGACTCGACCATGAGTGCCAGCTCGTGGAGGCAGAAGTACGAGTCGCAGTACATCGGGGAGAAGACCGCGACGCCGACTTTGCATTCGCGTATCGCCACGTCGATCTTGTCGAACAGCTTGTCCCCGGGCTTCATGCTCTTGCTGTCGAGGAAAGGTCGGATCCCGATCCCGAGGAGGTCGTGGTAGAGCAGCCCCGCAACGTTCCTCTTCGTGTCCACTCCCCGGTGGTTGATGAACACGTCGCACGGCCGCGGCGCTGGCGCCGCCGCCAGCTGGTGTTTGCGGAGGATTTGGCGGCATACGGTGTTGGCCACGACGGAGGATGCACGCTGCATGGTTTAATTTGTGTGTGTGTGTGTGTGTGTACTACTATGTGTACGGTCGAATTTTTGTTTTTTGCTGCCTTTATTATTTTTGGAAAAAAGAAATTAAATGTGATGCTAAATTTGTAGAGTATTGATTACGATAAGTGTAGTAGTGTATTTATAGGGTTTTTAGTCAAAGGAAAAAAAAAATTGTACATATACTAATCAGAATGTTGGACTCTTTGAAAAATATTTGTGCTTTCTTTCTTGGGGGAAAATAAAATAGAATAAAAAGATTTCAATGAATTGACTCTCTAACGCTTACGATACCATCTAGTGTTTAATCCTTCAAACACGCTTTTATTGTTCTTTTTTTTTTTTAATATTAATATATATTTTTAACTACTTCTATTGGCGTTTAGTTTCCATTTTATTTAGCTTATTTAAATTCATCTTATCATATTTCTAAATGCTTTTTTTTTCTTTTTCTTCTTGAAACTATGGTTGTATTTTTTATTTATTGGATTTTTCTTGTGCGCGTTATTGGAAAATGTAATCACGAACCCAACAAAAAATTAAAGTTTGTTTAGGGAATTTAATTAACGTTTTGCAGTTGAATATTCTAAATATTATTTTCAAATCCAGGTTGGCGTCTCATATTCAGAATGATGAGAAAAACTTTGGATGTAGCCAAATTCATTCAAGAGTCGTGTTTCTTTGTTTTCCAGATTTTCTCATCAATTTAACTATATCTAGTCTAAAGTTTGAATGTGATTGCAAATGTTCTATACTCTAGACTTTATTAATTTATTTGTTAATGCAACACATGCCAAAATTACATTTATCAGTTGATATATAATGCATACTTAAAAGTTGTTCAAAAAAAGTTTATCAGATTTTTAAGAGCTTATAATATCTTTCAAGGTGTCTGGTAATTTTTTGTATAAAAGATCTTAAATATTCAAAAAATAAGTTGTTGGATAACAAATTATATATTTTATAATATCATGTATATATCATCCGAACACGAACACGTCAAAAATTTATTCGAAAACTAAAATTTAACAGTTTATCGGTTCTTAAAATAACAAATATTATTGAAATATATTATCAACCCCACGGAATTTTTTCATTAAATTCTAAAATGTGGAACTTGGACTAGTTTTTTTGTGTAGAGAGAGAAAGTAGGATATATATATATAGAGAGAGAAAGAGTAATAGTACGACGAAGTCAATTTTGACATCTTATGTCATAGCTTTATTGAAATATAATACATACATACTGCATTGCGATGAAATTCTTACAAAATTCTTACAATATTTATTGACTATGATAATTGGCACCTTATTACTCAAAAAAATTGTTTTTCCGTACAAACCTTAAAATGGGGAAATATATGAATTAACTGAGACTTTCTTTCAAGGATTAGGTAATATACAATCGAGAAGTCAGTTTAGGGTTAGAAGGGGTCATGGCTCACAGTATATATATGCATATATAATTTATTGCATTTGTATTATGCTCATATATTTTATTAACACTTTAATTTTATGTAAAAAATAAATTAAAGGTCAACCTATAACATTATCCTAAATTCATCAGTATCATTAATTTGTTTACCCTATTTTTCATTTAAATTTTTTAATTCACATTTTGCCCATCGATTCTCGATGGTAAATCTTAGCTTCGTCACTGGTGATATATATAATTGATTTTTTTTTAATCTATTTATTTATTTTCACATGTCACGAACGATCGATATCCACGTAAAATTTAAATTTGGTCACGGTGCGTAGTGTGAATCGTGAAGAAAAACCGTGGTTGAGGACTTTGGTGTGAAAATTGAATATATGTGAGGGAAAATTAGTATGGGTACAGTGGGTAGGGGTACTTTTCTTGATCTTGAATAATTATTTTAATTAGTATTTTAATTATAATGTTTAATGGTTAAGAAAATTAGAAATTAAAAAAAAGGGGATCCCATAATCAATCTAATCTTGGCCAAGAAGTTGTTTAGTAACTTCTGTAGAAAATCGAATTTTGGACCAATTTAATATAGTTACGTTGTAGAATGTGAAAATGGGAGAGTATACTTGTAAGCCAAACTTCAATAAGTAAAAAGTCAGCATGGACAAAATTAGCCATGATAATACCTACTTTACTTGGGTTCTTGTCTTCCACCCCAAGCAAAACAAAAAAAACCATGTGCTATATATATATATATATATATATATATATATATATATATATATATATATATATATATATATATATATATATATATATATATATATTATAAGTACTCAGATCCATTTTTCTCAATTAATTAAAAAAAAATTAATTAGAATCTTCTTAGGAAATCAGTAGAAATGTTGGGACAATTTCATTGCTAATTGCAATTTTGTTTTTTTAATAAAAAAAAAAGAAATTTTGCATTTTCTTTTTTTGTGAATTATATTTGCAAAATGCAAATGAGTTCCACGTTTCTTGAGAGTAGGAGATCAATGGTCAAGACTCAAGACCAGAGTCTACTTGTTGTTGGGGTGATATGTCAGGGAGGGATAAATAAAATTTTCTGGGGACTGTAGTGCAAAATTAATAGATAAATAATAAAATAAAATTACAAAAAGCAATAAAATAATGATATTTAAAAAGAAAATCTATAGGGGCGGATCGGAAGCCACCCGAGTTGGTTCCGCCCCTTCGTCAAGACCTCAACTTAGGTTACATTGGGAGTTCGAACTCGAGTTTCGTTGGGTCGAATATATATTATTCCAGATTTAGTAAAAAAAAATATTGCCATATTTTAACTTGACGAATATTCGACCAAGAAATTGAAAATTCATGAAATGCAAGCTGGAATCTGTGTCGTTTGGATATTTGTAGGCCACATGATTCGATTAGACAACCTAATTCTTGTTGCTTTCGTGCATTAAAATGGCCTCTCACAAATCATTTTTTTTTTCTCTTTAAATTTGATTGGCAGGCATTTTCACGATTTAAAATAATAATAATAAGAATTATAATGATTTGATCTGATTTGTATTAATCTAGATAATCACACCGTAAATAATCCATATATATAACTTGTTACTTTAGTGTCGAAGATGTTTCCGTCAGATCAACCACCTACTCGCGTACAGTTTATTAAATGAGAACAGAGAAAAAAAGAAAAAAAAAAAGAAGAATGAAGAAGAAAACAAATTCAATCAAATCTTCACAAGAATTGAAAATTAGAAAGAGTACAAAAAGTCAACTATGACTCGTTTCGCACTAACACACAATTATGGATGTTAAATCGAGTCGACAAAGACCGGCCAACCAATCAAGATCAAGTGTTGTTTTCGTTTGTTTCTTATTTATTTATATGCTTCATTAAATTTCCAAAAAAAAAAATCGGCACATTTATCTTTATAATTGATATAGGATGGCCCATTGGGCCCAATCTTATTTATATTGCGTTCACACTCAACCTCCCTAATCATCTCCACAATTGCAACT